AGAGAGTCTGGTAAAAAAAAATATGTAAGGACGATAGCCATGCAGTTCTGAGAAATGCCTCAGTGGTGACCAAAATTAGTGCTCTGTGGAAACTCTGCTGGGAATTCTCTAAGCCTATTCCTTCCTAGCTCAAAAAAAAAAAAAAAAAATGTATTTTTTTTCTTTCTAATCTCCTCAGCAGTGATGGTAAATATTGTTTACTTTGATCACATGGCATGCTCTAGAGGTGCCATATATCTAGGTGTCAGATCAGGAAAATAAAATTAGAATATAGGTACTCTTTGCTCTCACATTAGTATTTACACCACAGCACAATATTATTGGACTTTTCCTTGACTTTTTTTGAGAACAGAAGCAACCTAGTTTTATCTGAACAGAGACAAAAAACATATTCATGTATTAGTGGAGTTTTCTATTGAGAGGTAATTTGTTGTTTGCAGCCTTTTTTGCTTGCCTTCTGCATTTCCAATATACCCTCTTACAAGTCCAAAGTCATTTAGCAGGTTAGATGCTACTAAAATGTTTTTTATTAGGAGTGGTTTATTGGTGGAATACTTTAAATCTGCAGTTCTTGATGTTGTGTAGTGTCAGGATATTTAAGATGTTTACCATTAGTTCTTGTGGAATAATTTTTTTTCTTTTCACATTTAAAAAACTAGATATAGTAACATTGTATCATTTAACAAGGCACACACAGCAATAGCATAGCAAAAGTAAAATACAAGCAGACTTCTCATTTCTTCACTTCCACTTACATGTTTTTAGCATCAAGATTTAGTTAACCAATGTTTATTAGGTACCTGCTATAAGTTATAGATTGTGTGAGATAATAGGATGTAAAATTTGACTTACATTTCATTTCAGTTAACACTAACATAGTGTCAGGTTTTGTCAATATCACTTCATTTCCATGACATCTGTTTGACATGAATAGGATCATCTATATTTTGTAGAAGAGATAGCAGACTTAAATGTTATCTTAGTATTTTATAACTAAGATTAGTTGAACCAGCTCTTGGTTCCCAAATTCTCTTTGTATTCATCTAGTCTTGGATATTTTTTATTTGTCCCCTTTCTGCCTTTCCTTTACCCCCTAATAGTTGACATTTACGGGCTCTTACGGGCTCACTTGTTAGCTTCTGTTGGATTTAGCCAAAGTGAGACAATGGAAAGCCAAAGAACAGAGAAGATACTTACTCCTCAAGCTGCTATTGGCAGCTCCTTTCCAGTAATCGCTGCCTATCTCCCCCTTCACTCCAAACAGTAGCAGTGGTTCCTGAGTACTTTGCTATTCTTGTTGGTTCTATAATCTTGCCCTTCATTTCTGCGTTGAGAATGCTTTGTTTTTTGCAGTACACTGACTGATACAGCTTTTCTTAAAACAATCACATGAATTTGAGCTTCCTGACTCTATCTAATCTGATTTTATGAATCTTTAAAATTTATCACACATTTCATTTAAAGTAATGTTGCAAATACAAGGTTGTATGTTTTAAGTGAAATACTCAACCACTGACTTTTACAAAGTTTAAAAAATAGCATCAATACAAAGTTACCAGCACTTTTACTGAATCTTGGTCCACAAAGACATTGTGGAAATACCTTTGTTTTTTTGCCATCCCTATTTCTTAATTCTTCACACATTCCTCAAAAGGTAGGAAGGAAGAAGTAATACTTTTGAGCATTATAAACACTAAGGAAGTTACAAAAGTAGGGTTAAGGTCTTTGTCCTTCTCAATACCAACCTTAGGTGTTTTTGTTTTTGTTTTTAACGTAGTTCTTCATTTTACGCATTTTTTCATCTCAGTTGTAATCCCCATGGGCTTCCCACCACCAATTCACCCATGTACCATCACCACAATCCAGTACACTCTTCCTGCCTCATTCTCATCCCATTCCCCCTTCCACCCTGATAAAATGTGTTACATTTGTTTGTCTCTTCCCTCACCCTACCTCTCCCACCCCATCTCTTAGGCTCCTGCTATGAGTGAAACCATCTGGTATTTTTCTTTTTTATTCTGGCTTATTTCACTGAGCACGATCCCTTCCACTTCCATCCATGTTGCTGTAAAAGTTTATCTTTTTTTGATTGATTACATTGTGTATATGTACCACATCTTTTAAATCCAGTCTTCTATTTTTGGGCATTTGGGTTGATTCTGCATCTTCCCTATGGTAAATAGAGAATCAGTAAACATGGGGGTGCAGGTGTCCTTTTGAGTCAATGTTTTTGTGTCCTTTGGGTATATACCTAGGAGTGGGATTGCAGGGTGATGTGTAAGCCCTATTTTCATCCTTTTGAGAAACCTTCAAACAGCTTTCCGTAGTGGTTGTTTGAGTTTGCATTCCCACCAGCAGTGTAGGAGAGTTCCTTTTTCTCTACATCCTCACCAGCATTTGTTGCTAATTGTATTAATATGTGCCATTCTCATTAGGTGCTACTTTTCAACTGAATTAGCTAAAAACATGAGTGGGGCTTCTATGCTAGCAATAAAACCAACTATCCAGCCATTTCCTTCAGGAGGATGAAAAGTGCCTACCAGTAATTGGCAGCAAGTCTTAACTACCTGTTGGAGTTGTATTAGACTGGGAAAAAAGGGAGAAAAAATTCTCATGATGTCCCTAGATGGAATTCTTTGTAACATGGGTGTTAGAGAAGTCTTTATGATTTTAGATACTCAGTTGAAAGTGCACAGTTAGGGGTCTATACTTGTATTTTACTATTCTCTTTCAGTAACTCTTCTAGCTTCGTTATTTATTTGGGGGGTGGAGAGGGTAGAGTCCCATAGCCAGTAGCAATCATGGAGGCCAACCTATCTTTTTCCCATCACTGCTTTTCTTCATGGCATCAATGTATTGTATAGCTTCACAAAGAAATACTAAATTTTTAGAATTCACATGTTTATCTTTCTTTGAGGTATGTTTTAGAAATTTCCTAAGTATAATATGTTATAGTTTGCCCATTTATCTTAGTTTAAATGTTATAGAACTGCCTTTTACAAGGTTTTCACTTGGATAATAAATTGTATGATTATCAAATTTCTCATACATATTTTGAAAAATACTCCAGGTGACACCAGTTAGGCATATTGGCTTAACATTTTAAGTGGTAAATTCTTAGGACAAGATCCTTAAGATCACCTCTGCAACTATGTTCTATGATACATATATTGAACCCCATATAGAGAAGGTATTTTTAAATGGAGAAAATAAAACATAAGGAACTAAAATACATGTTATTTTAATAAAACCAACCATTGCACAATATATTTCCCTCAAAATTTAGGGTAAATGCTGCAAGTAATAGGAAAATACAAACTGATGAATGTAAATAAAGTTTGCCTGAATGCAAAGTTTTTCTAAGCTTAGTCTTGGAAAGTAAGTATGATTTTCTGAAATACATGTCGGGGTCATGAACTCAGAAAGCAATTTTCTTTTCTGTCCTTTAATTGTGGTATAACCATCATGAGAGTATAGGCTAATGATTTATCACAAAATGAAAATACATTTATAACCACTACACATTCCCTTTGTGCCTCTCTGCAAAAGGTAGCTACAATTCTAACTTCCATTATCATTGATTAATTTTGCCTGTTTTTGAAGTTTATTTAAATGAAATTGCATAGTATGTGGTCTTTTGTGTGCGACTCATTTTTGTTTTGTGTAGTGTCCATTTTCACTGCTTTCTAGTTCACTAGCATGTGCTAGTGAAGATGTGGCTTATTTCCAGTATTGTGGCTTATTGTAGCAAATGCTGCCATGTATATTGTTATACATCTGCTTTGATGCATGTGTACACTCATTTCTTTTGTGCAGTAATTTCTAGGCATATAAGGAGGTAATAAGAATACTTGTATATTCAACTTTCGTAGATAATAATAAACATTTTCCAAAGTAGTTGTGTCATTTTACGCTTTCACTAGCACTCCACATTTTTGCTAGAAGCATCAGTCTGAATTTTAACCATCCTGCTGTGTGGGTAGTGATAACTCCGTCGGATTTTGTTGTGTATTTTCCTGATAACAAATGTTTAGTACTTTTTTATTTCCTTTTGTGAAGTGCCTAGTAAACCCCTTAACCATTTTCCTGTTGTATTTTCTATGCTGTCTTACTGATTTTTAAGTGTTTTTTCATATTCTGAATACTAGTCATTTGCTGGTTTCTGTGACAGATGTCTTCTCCCACTTAACACTGTCTCTTGATTTTACTGTGGTCAGTTTATCAGTCTTTTCATAGTTAGTGATTTTGAACATTGTGTTGAAGAAATCTTTTATTGGAATATTCTCTTGTGCTGACTCCTGGAAACTATGATTTTACTTCCCACATTTTGATTTATTAGCCATCTGTATTTGATTTTTATGTATTGGGCAACCTATAGATCAAGTTTGTTCTCTCAGATGGTAACCAATAAACATGAACTATGTTGTTTCTGAATTTTCTTCAAAGGCCATTCTTAGAGCTTAGTAATGTTACCATGAGATAAATCAGGTGTTCACATATAGGTTTGAGACTGTTTTTCTGGACACTGTTCTGTTCCAGGTGGCCTTTCTTTCTGTCCTTGTGATATCATAACTTTATAGTGAGTCATTATATCTGACAATATAAGGACACTTATACTTTCACTCACTTTGTTCTTCAGGATGTGTAAGCTAAACTTAACTCTTCGTATTTGCATGCAGATTTTGTCAGCAACACTAAAGGCAGTGGGGAATCTTTGAGGCCTGAGTGAGAATCATTGAAAGTTTTGTCTAAAATTTTAATAAAGATAAGGTCAATTCAAATTCAGAGTCTTTTGAGATTCAAGAATATCCTTATTTTTACTTTAGCATTGGTTTTATTTCCTCTGATAGACTACTCAGTGAATATGCCGTAAGCATAAAAAAAAGCCTAATGGTAAAGAACATAACTGCTTGAAGTTTCTTAGTGAGAGTATAAGTTTATTTTTAATGAGTGCAGTCTAAAAATGCAATTAATTAACTTTTTTTGTTTTTATTCTTTAGAATATCTATGACAACTGATTCCTGCAAATTAAACTTTTTCAAGAATTTCTGAAGGAACCAAGTTAAGATTTTCTTACATCATGACCCATTTGAATGCAAGAACAAGAAATAGGTTTTAATCTCTACGTATAATGAAGGACTGTGTGTAAACACAGACCCTGGCTCAATTCTAAGAATATTTTAGACATGAGTTTACATCGGCAAATGGGTTCAGATCGAGATCTTCAGTCTTCTGCTTCATCTGTGAGCTTGCCATCAGTCAAAAAGGCACCCAAGAAAAGAAGAATTTCAATAGGCTCCCTGTTTCGGAGGAAAAAGGACAACAAACGCAAATCAAGGGAACTAAATGGCGGGGTGGATGGAATTGCCAGTATTGAAAGTATACATTCTGAAATGTGTACTGATAAGAACTCCATTTTCTCTACAAATACCTCTGACAATGGATTAACTTCTATCAGCAAACAGATTGGAGACTTTATAGAGTGCCCTTTGTGCCTTTTGCGGCATTCTAAAGACAGATTTCCTGAGATAATGACTTGTCATCATAGATCTTGTGTGGATTGCTTACGACAATATCTAAGGATAGAAATCTCTGAAAGTAGAGTTAATATCAGTTGCCCAGAATGTACTGAACGGTTTAATCCCCATGATATTCGCTTAATATTAAGTGATGATGTCTTGATGGAAAAATATGAAGAATTTATGCTTAGACGGTGGCTTGTTGCAGATCCTGATTGTAGGTGGTGTCCAGCTCCAGACTGTGGGTAAGAAGATTTTGATTATTACTAACCCTTTTTTGCCTGTGTATAAAATAAGAATTTATTGATTATGACTCAAAACAAACATGTTAACATGCCAGGTCATTTTTTTCAGTAGACAAACCTATTAAATGTATACCATATGTTGGGCACAATGTCAGATGTAAAAGGTTAGGAATCTTATTTTGTATTGCCTTTGCAACACATTTACTGAGGAGCACTTACAGAAGAAAAAAGTAAGATAGTAGAGTATAGGATTTAGTTGTGGGCAAAATTGATTTTCCTATCAATTTGGAGAATTTTTATTTTGGTTTAACAAAGGAAATGTTCAGAAGTTTTGTTTATCTGTTTTTACGGAGGACTGTTTGCTATCATAAACTTCACTGACCCTTTTGAAAGCCACCTTAATGTTTACCATCGTGTGATGTGTTCGTGTTACGTAAGCATTTGCTAGTAGTAGAGATTTCATTATACTTCTTTGCCTCAAGCTTTTAAGTTATAAATATATTTTCCTAACATCTAAAATAATTTTGCTTATATGTTTGATTATTATATGAATAAAAACCCTTATTTACAGTGTATTTACTAGGTATGGTTGTCAGAATTAGGAAGAAACAGACTTGCTCTTTAAGAATAATAAAAGCCATAACCAGTGGATGTAATTTAACATACCATTAGTAAACCAGAAATTATATATAATTAAGAATTTAGGAAAACCCAGAACTTCTGAGATTACTTGGGTATAATCTCAGAGATAAGACTGGAAAGTGAGTTCAGTTTATCAAATGACAGTGTCATGATGGATCGCCTGAATCAAATCCATTATTAAAAACTTGTTAAGTAGCAAAGTTTCTCATTACTCTACCCTCTGCCATAATTTTAAATGAGAAATATGTTTCCAACCTGTGCAAATAGACTTTCCCAGGTATCACTAGTGTATAACCATCCACCAGGGATATAAAAATTGAGCATATTACCTAATTATGTAACATTTTAAGAATTCTTTAATTGCGTGAAAGATTCAATTTTATACTGGTTATGCTAGTTAGTATAAAATTGAGCTCTCCTGTACTGCAGAGAACTTGTACTGTAATGTAAATAACAATACTATGTATTAAAGGCACTGTACAAACTGGGCCACAGTTGACTGAGATTAACTGTTCAGGCTTATGACAGAAGCAAACTCTGGGCATCATGAGAATGCTAAACTCTCCAGAAAATATGGGGAAAAAATAGGAGTAGTGAACAATACCTTTAAATAGCTTGAGCAGGAGACAGTATCCTCTCTAGAGGCCAACTTAGAAATGATTGTGTATCTCTTGTTCTATGGGCACATAAGATATATTTTCACTGGTGCAAGTATGTATATTTACTAGACTAAATTTCAAGTTGGAGAGCAAATTTTAAGTTAACAAAAAGTCTTCTCAAAGTCACTGTGGCAGACATTCCTATAGTAAGAGTTCAAATAACGAGTAACATGGCTTACATATAGTATTTTATCTATAGTGTGTTCTATTTTTCATGAAACCCAGGATAAGAGGTAGTTAATGAGTTGCACTAAAGTTTAATAGCTTTAAGAGGAAAAAAGTTTGTAAATGATGGGACAAAGGAAAAAGATTAAAGTACCAGAAATTGTTTCAGGGAGAGGCTGAAGCAGTAAATCTAGGACATACACTTTCTCATCACTAACTGGATGTATTTTCTTGTGGGTTGATTAGTCATATCATCATAATGGATAATATCAGCACTATCCTAATATCCTAATAGAACACAGTAGCTGAAACTGGCACAGATTATAGTTTTGTCTCTGAACTTGATTATAGAGGCAGCCTGACAAAACAACTGAAAAAGGATTGATTATTCAACATATGGAATTCAAAAATTAGCTATTTGAAGGAAAAAAATTATATTGTCATTACAAAACACAAAATCAGAACAGATTACAGAGAGATTAAGTTATATAAATAAAAGGGGAAAATCAAACTAAAAGAAAACATAGGTGAATGATTGGCTCATCTACTTCTACATTGCTTATTAAAATTGAGCACACATATTCTCTGTAACTGTGAAGGTTCACTTCTATTTAAATACCATAGTGAAGAAAGTCTTGTGTTCCAGGAGATGTGTAGTTAGGAGACATGTTTAAGAATCTTCTTACTGTCAAATTAGGGGGGAAAGTGCCTACTTACAGTAAAATATAATTTAGTGACTGGTCATCTCTTGAAAGGAGGCAGAGGGCTGTGAAATTTGAGGAGCAATCAAGAAACTCTAAAACCTCTGATAGAAGGTTACCGTATTCTTGGATTGGCCCAAGTTATTATAGTTTCAGTTCATACTTACTGTACTGGTGTTAATTTTTAATAACATTTTTACCTCAAGTATTCTGGTTTAAGTTGTGGACCATATGATCACCTTACTGATAATGTTAACTGGTGTGATAGTTGCAAGGCTATTCGATTAACTATTTTTATAAACCCTTTTGTATGTATACCATTTCTCAAAAAGATTTACAAATTTTTCTTAAGTTTCATAGATTGGTATATTTTTGCAGAGGATAAATCAAATGTTAGTTCATGTATAACTTATTACAAATAGCAGAGATATCTACTTCAATGGATTGTTTTATGAAAACAGTCACTCACTTGTTTTATATGTTTAACAAAGAATTGACCTTCATTAATTTGACTGTAAATTAACTTGGGGGACAGCACTCCTTGTCCGCCTATGACTATACCAGCATTTCTTTGCACAAACCTTTTCCTTTTGCAAAATAGGCAGCTCTCCTGCCCACCTGTGACTGTGTAGATACCTCTTTTTTCTTTCTCCTTTTCTAGATGAACTTGTCCTTTTAAAATGTTTTTAAAAACTAATTTTAATTTGGATGGTTATTATTTTTACTCACAAAGGACAAAGAAAGCATAGCACAGAGATAATTACTTTTATTTATGTATTTTTATTTTATATTTGATTTATGCTTTAAACATTTTATATGCATGTATACATTGAAAACATAGAATACTACATAAACCCTCATTAAAAGTTTTCTTAAAGTAAGCTTGTATAGACCTGATTTGAATCTTTATCCTATCATACTGTGATAGGATTGAGATTTTTTTTTAACCAATTTGCTTATATATCTTTTTACATTGTTATTTGTTTTTGTACAGTGTATGCTTGCTTCTCTCAGGTATAGTCCCCATAAAATTCCCACTCACCAATTGACCCATGATGGTCATCACAGTCCCTTGGCTCCTTGTGCTCTTCCCTTCTTCCCCTAATTTATAGTTGCCTGTTTATTTTGTTGTTTTTTTTTTTTTCTGATCCCTTTTTTGGGCTGAAGCCATCCGATAATTTTCTTTTCCTTTCTGATTTATTTTATTTTACTGAGCATAATCCCTACCAGCTCCATACATGTTGCTGTGAATAGCAATGAGTTTATCTTTTTTGATTGCTGAGTAGTATTCTCTTGTATATATATATATACCACATCTTGATCCATTCATCTGTTTTGGGGCATTTGGGTTATTTCCATATCTTGCCTGTTAAAAAGAGTGCTGCAATAAACATGGGTGCAGTTATCTCTTTAAAATAATGTGTTTGTGTTCTTTGGGTAGACCCCCCTGGATGGTATGGTAGCTCCATTTTTAGTAGTTTGAGAAACCTCCACATAGCCTTCCATAGTGATTGGACAAGTTTGCATTCTTACCAGCAATGTAAGAGAGTTCCTTTTTCTCCACATCCTCATCAACAGGTGTTGTTGCTAGTTTTTTTTTTTTTTTTAAACATGTGCCATTCTCACTGGTGTGAGGTGGTATCTCATTGTGCTTTTGATTTGCACTTCCCTATTTATAAGTGATGATAAACATTTTTCATATACCTGTTAGCCATTTGTATTTCTTTTAGCTTTTCTGACCACTTTTTGACTGGTCTATTTACTTTGTTTTTGTTGAGTCATGTGAGCTCTTAGTAGATATGAGTAAAACCTTTACTCATATTTTTTGATTAGTCCCTTAAAATTGAGATGGGTCTTTAAAGTTATTACTAATATAATTCCTAGCACACAGTAAACTTTTTTATAGCTCTTATTTATGTTTTCTAATTGCCATTCCTAAGTTTTCTTTTTTAATCCAACATTTAAATATTTCATACATCTATGTTCCAGATTCTAGAGTGTTAATAATGAACAAAAGATTAAAATCTCTTCCCTCTTGAAACTTACTAAAACATTTGGGCCCACAGAGAGACATTTATTTAAACTCCATTTATAATTAAATCTTGCCTGAGGAATACTGATTAATACCTGATTTTTGGACAGCTGCGAGTTCTTGCTGAGAGGCCATTGTTTTCCCTTGCTCCTGTATGCTGTGCCTGTTGTAGAGCTGGAGAGGCGGGGCCTCCTGCATGCTCTGGCTCCTCTGTTCCCATGCTCACTGTTATTTTTCATATTCTAGATCCTCCCTCCCCTACTTGAAGCTTCTTGCCCCTTTGGAGCTGCCCACGTTATTATTATTATTATTATTTTAAATAGGGCCATAGACTTAGGGACTAAAGTATATGTATTTTCAGTTTTCTGGTCAATAGTCATATGACTCATTCACATACTACTAAGAGAAAGGTTTTACTCATATCTTGACCATCTTTTTAACAGTCTGGAAATGCTTTTGTAGGCTGACTTTTAGAAGTTTTATATAACTAACCAATCCAACTTTTTTCTTCTCCAGAGGAAATAAGTACTTGTGACTTAGACAATTAGCAGATTTTATGTGTAGGAACCTTAATGGGTCAACTCTTTCAGGAAGGTTATAAGATAGCTAGTGATAAATTGTATGAATTTGAATATATTGGGTTATCAGAAAAGTCATATATTGTTTTTCAAGCAAAAATGCATCATGACTTTTCTCCAACCTAATAGTTGCATTCATAGAGTAAAAAGTATTCTAAGAATTAATAGCTTGAGCTGAGTTTAGTTTGCTGAGTTTAGTTTGCTGTTTTTACTATAGTCTTCC